ATGGTTTGTTTAAGGATGATTTGGAAATCTGTCCATGCAGGACATGGACAAAGTTTGTATTTAAAGACTGCTGATTCCCTCAGAGGAACGGCAGACTTTGGCAGACAGAGTATTTCTAATATACTTGGTTGAACGGTTACCTCTTCGAGTCCCTATTCTTTATATCTTTCTCTCAGAGCCTCCCTTAGCGCAGTACGCCCATAGGTTGTAGATCAACTTGTGCGCTACTCCTATTATACCTAGAAGCATGATTAGCACCCCGGTGTGAACACGTTACAATAACGGGAATCCGTTTGACCCTGAATAACTTTGTGTCTTGCTCGGACTACGGTTTCCATGCGTTGTCGTGTTTCTGCGAGGGTGTTTTAAACCTCTCCGGCGAAAACGCATGATTCCTTCATCGCGGAAGATTAAGTACAAGTGAGTGGTCTCGCTTCAAGCCGACTCACTGTCCTCCTAACTCTGACTGGAGTAATCAGCTCCGTCGAGAGACTTATCAATGCACCGTTGACTTGGCAACTAGACTGCATCAATATTCAGGACTTTCTGTCATGATTGGACTAGTTAACGTCGTGGAAAAGTCCCTCAATCATAGATAGGCCTCCGGTTGGCTTCTGTACAATGTGAGCACTAGACTGGGCCCTGTGCCTCATCCACATGGGCATGTCCCGATAACTCATTGGACTGTTGGTGATTTTGTCCCAACACCTTCTGTCCATGTCTGAGGTGGTCAACCTCGCTTAGCACATAGCTCCATGGTTACCCATCCGATTGACTCCATTCTACTTTTCAGACACGGCCTGAGGTCCCCTCTTATATATCCTGCGAACAGCTTTCAGTCAGACAGACGGCGACGATGTATACAGTGTTATAAAGCATGCTTCGCTTCAACCGGTTTATACTGTCGGGAGACCAAATTCCGGCGACACTATTACTGCACGCAGGGCCAACGGTGGGGCCGGAGGGGGGCGTTGGCTATGAAATCTTCGCGGTTTTTAGGAGGTCTGTGCGTGGGGGAGGTCTGTGCGTTCATATGTGTAACATAGACAATCCTCGGCAAACTCCTCCTGTGATGTTCGAGTAACCCAGGTGTTTACTGAAAATCCACCTATGTTAAAAGCACACTCATCTGTCCAGATAACCTTAAATTAATTAGAAATCATGCAATTATAATCAAGTATAAGTAGGCAGTCACCTTAAACCGATCGGAGATAGTCCAATCATGAAATGTATTTGCAAAATGTAAGCGGGTGGTTTTATTTTTTGTTGAGAGGAAAGGCTTGGCTCTTACAATTCGACGATAGTAACCCTTACTCGTGAAGAAGCGATGAAGTGTATGCTCATTGGCCTTAATGCTGAGATTCTCAGCAATGAGAGCAAGTGGCTTGCAGCGATTCTCTTGGGAGGCTGTTGCATGGACTATTAGGTGAGTCCTGTCTTGGTGTGCCAGTGTAAGGTGAGGTCTTCCAGTACGATGTTCAGGAGGAGTATTTGGCTGGGCACAAACAGCAAATACAGTACTGACTAGAACTTGAACAGCCTCTGCAATGCGTCGGAAAGGCCACAGTGCAAAAGTGCAAAGCAATCTGATTTTAGACCAGAGAGAAAGTGTAATCTGCATTTTAAGAAACTTAAGAGAAGTGCTTGAGATAACATAAACCATGTGATAACACTATCTAAAATACATTGTTTTTCTAATACTTTATAGAAGATTTATACCTTCCATAAAGCTAATATCTTTCAGATTAACAACCTTTATTTTTCCCTAATGGTTATTCTCTATCTTATACTTGGCTTTCAAACTCCTATATGATTCACATTGCGTGACTTGCTCCACATATCGTAAGGTTTATACTGGTTACAACCGTCAACTAAATACGAGGTGTGACTTAACATATTTCTTTCTTACCCCATCTTGTTCAGTTTATTGTCCGCTCTTCATATCACCATTTGCTATCCTTTTTTAGTGTGTGCGATCGCTATATGCCGGTCCCTTGTACCATCCTGTGTGCTACTCGCCCCCCGTAGAGAGGCAAAGGGAGCCAATCAGCCTCCCCTCAACGTGCACCGCCCGTGTGCCAAAGAGTGAGATTCCGTGATGTGCCAGGTGATGTGCTAGGCACGGGTACCTGCTGTTACCACGTAATTTAGGTGTACGTCAATGTCACAAGTGCCATGTGCCAGCTTTTGTACACGTCCCAGGCATATTGAACCCGAACACAGGGGCATAAAATGGGGGGGGTGAGCAGGGGCCTGACAAGGGTTCAGCACACAGTCTGACATTGCGCATTTGGCTAAAGGGCTGAAGTTGAAGTAGTGGAAAGTGTGTATCGTATTCAATAGAAGTCGCTTGTAGATATACAGATTGAAAGAAAACCACGATAGTTAAAGATTAAAAATTAGAGATTAAAATTAATATTAAAATTAAGAACTAAGAATTAAGAATTAAGAATTAAAAACTAAAAACTAAAAATTAAAAAAATTCACCACCGTGTATGACCTCCGCCAGCTACTATAACAGCTTCGATCCTTTCGGGCATAGAATCAACAAATGACAAAAGATCAACTTCAGAGATCTTCTGCCATTCCTCCTAAATGGCCTCCCGCATACCCAGTAGAGTAGTAGGCTGGGGTGACCTCTTGTTTAGCATATCCTTAAGGATGTTCCAAACATTCTCAATTGGATTGAGGTCGGGCGAGCAGGGAGGCCATTGGAATTTAGGAAGTCTATAGTCTTCCTGAACACGCCGGGTATTGCGTGCCCGATGGGCAGCAGCACCATCCTCCATCAGCCATAGGTACTGTCCTGCTGCCATGCTCTCCTGATACCAGAAGGGTACAAGAACTGGAACAAAAACATTCTGAATATAACTCTCAGAAGTTATATTCCCCCAGTTCTCCTTGTCCCACAGTACAAGAGGCGTTTTCTTGCCTCCCAAGATCCCCCTCCAAACCATCACAGAGTTTTTTTTTGCGAACTTGGGGACCAAGCAGTCATCTTGGTACTCCTCCCCAGGGCGCCGGGTGACCCAGGTATGGCTTCGAGTGCCAGTCAGCCAGGCATAGCACTCGTCCGTCCAGATCACCCGGCGCCAATCCTCCTGCCTCGACCCACGGTGGGGGAGAGCAAAATCGAGTCGTAGTTGGCGCTGGCGGGCATCAAGAAAAGGCTTTTTACAAGCAATTTGCCGGGAGTAACCTTTCATCCTGAAGGCCTTTCGGAGTGTTTTTTCACATGCGTGCACACCACAGATAGCGGCAACCTCATGAAGAGGCATCCTGCGATGTGCAGCACTGCTTGTCGCTGTAGCGACAAGCCAGCATCGGGTAGGGGTATCAATGGAGAAAGGCCGATGTCCCCGCTTCTTTGGTATTGCGGGGGCATTGCATATCTCATATACGGTACTTGGTGATATGCCCTGGTCCTCCGCAATTTTTTGATAGGTCCAGTCTGCTGAAAAGCGCAGTGCCTGGACGTAGCATCTTTTTTTATAAAATGCATGTTCGTATGTCGTATTGGCTGGCATTTTAAACTATAGACTAGGTCAGTCACTCTCCTTAATTGCTATTGATTTACTTACTACTTGATAAAAAAGGGTTACTATTGGTTTTTATCACGATAATTCACGTTCACAATACCAGTAGGTTGGGTCGGTTGGGGTGAAAAGGAGTTTTGTGGACAATTCTTGCTCCTTTTTCTCCTTGTTTTTTTCTTTTTTCTAATAATTTCGCTAATTCACTTCGCCCCCATTCTTACCCCCCTGTGTTCGGGTTCAATATGCCTGGAACGTGTAGAAGGAATCATATCTACGAGGGCTGACGCCCCCGTTCTACAAAAGCTAGGCACATGACATAATCCTCAACAGGTGGCTAGTGGTCGTAACACTAGATCCCTATCTGATTAGATTACCGTTCGGTCTCTAGTGTGGTCATCCTGCTCGCTTGTACTCTCATGTCACTATACTCATCAGTTCGCTTGTGGTCCGGAGGTGACGCTGACGCTCTAGGTAGGGGCTGCGCCCCTACAACCCCACCGTCCACAATCTGGTCCGGGGATTTCATCAGTAGTCTTTTGTCACGATGTTTCCATTTCACTCTCGGTCATCGGGTCACTTTGGTCATGCCACTGCGGAGCGTCCATTCCATTCTATTCCTTTCCCTTCCGTTCTGCCTGAACTACACGGCTGTCGATATCCGACAGCTTCCCCAGAATCGTGCGCTGCAACGCTTCCATCCCTTTCCAGTTCTGGTCCATCGCATCCAGCTTTGCCGCTACTCCCACCGTCCACTCCTTCATCCCTTCGGTCCACTCCTTGATCGTGTCGAACCGCTCGTCTATCCTCCGGTCGCTCTCGTCCATCCTCTCCTCCAGGCCGTCGAACCTGGTCGCCAACCGCCGGACATCATCGCGGATGTCGTGCACCTCGTCCTCCATCCGAACCGGGGACTCCTGCGTCGCCCGCACGTACACCTCCGGTCGAGACCGTAACTCCCGCTCCTGTTCCCGCACCTCCGATGAGGTCCGCGGTAGTGTCGTCTCGGCTACCATCGACACCGACACCGACTTATCCGACGCTCCCGACATCCCGTCCTCGTGGCTTTAATCCGATAGGTACACCTGTCGCTCATCGCTGTCAGTGATCTGTACCCGGTTGTTCTGCTATTCGCGCGTTGATTCGGTTCGTGATGCGAGCGACGTACCTCTTGATCGTGATGTGCCCGTTCCTCGCTCCTCGCTTCGCTTCGCGTCGCGTGTGGTGATTCTGTGGTGGTGGTGGTGGCGGCGCCGTTTGCTGTGTTCCCTTCGCCGCTGTATCGCTTCGCGTGTGGTGGTGGTGTTCCGGTGTCGCTGTGGGCGTGGTTGCTGTTGTAGCTGTCTCGGTCGCGTCGGAACCGAGATGGGGGGAATCGTTTCCTTATATAGACATTCCTGACCTTTCCGTGGGTACGTCGTGACCTTTCCCGCGAGGGTCATCGGTGTGGTTGCACAGAGTGTTCCCATTGGTTGCACTACGCGTTGTTGTGATGTGTCACATCCTACTACTACTAACGGTGTCACCCCCGCTTGAAAAAGGAAAAGAGAAATCGTCTTTCCCGTGTAGAGCCAATCTTTGTCCGGCTCGTACGCACTGCCACATGTGCCAGGCGAGTGAGATTCCGTGAGGTGCCAGACGAAGTGCCAGGCAAGCTACAAGCCCTTCCCACGTAATTTAGGTGTGCTTGCAATGTCACAGGTGCCAGGTGCTAGCTTTTGGTATAATAGAAGGAATCATATAACCGTGGCTGGCGCCCCGGTTTTCTGCCAAAAGCTGAGGCACCTGACATAATACCGCATACGTGGCTCATGGTCGTGCGCCCCGAGATCAATCTGATTAGATCACACCGGCGAGTTTCACCGGGCGTATTCCCACGATACTCACACTGTGCGATTAGTCTTTTCTGTCGCCTGTGGTCTTTTTATCACTATACTCACCATTTTCACTATTAGTCCTCATGTCGCTTGTAGTCATGATAGTCACTATTAGTCGTATTTCCACTGTACTCACATCTCACGATACTCGAGTGGTGACGCTGACGCTCCAAGTAGGGGCTTCGCCCCTACACCCCCCCTTGACAATCTGATCCGAGGGTGGCTATGGCATCTGTTTCGCGGTACTCCACTGTCAGTTGGTCTGTACGTTGTTCGTATTAGTATCACTGCTCCTGTGATGCTTCGGGGGTGACTGGGGGGGGGGTCAGTTGTTTTATTCTATTCTATTCTATCGGTTCCCCTCCTCCGCGGGCCTGGTACCTCCTTTGATCTCTGCCAGCTGCTCCAGGATCGTGCGCTGCAACGCCTCCATCCCCTTCCAGTTCTGGTCCATCGCATCCAGCTTTAGCGCTACTCCCTCGCACCACTCCTTGACCAGGTCGAACCGCTCGTCCATCCTCCGGTCGCTCTCGTCCATCCTCTTGTCCATCCTCTTCTCCACCCGGTCAAACCGTTCCTCCAGCCCGTCGAACCGAGTCGCCAACCGCCGGACATCATCGCGGATGTCGTGCACCTCGTCCTCCAGCCGGAACTCTACCGGGGACTCCTGTGTCGCTGCCACCATTACTACCGGTTGCCGCTCCCGTAACTCCCGCTCCCGCTCCTCCCCCGACATCCTGTCCTTGTAGAGATTAATCGATCCTGGAAGGATGGGGATGGTTAACGGCACCCACCTGGACAGAGCGAGACTCAAGGCTCGGGTGGAGCATCAAAACAGGGTAAGCATACCACGATGGTGGAGAAGGGGAAAGCGAGGAAGCGTGAACAAAGAATCGGGCATAGATAAGCTAGCGAAAATCAGACTATGCAATAGAATTACCCAAAGCGGAAAAGAACAACTACACGGGAAGCGAGGAGCTGACAGTACGAGTATCGTGAAATGAAGAGTAATAGTGAGATCTCGAACCCGATTATCAAGTAGGGGTGCAGGGGCTTGCCCCTGCCTAGAGCGTCAGCGCCACCCTCGACCAAGAGTGAAATCGTGACCACAAGCGAAACGGTGAGTATCGTGAAATCGTGACTATCGTGACATTAGGACTACAAGCGAGCAGAGTGAGTATAGCGACAAAGCGAGGGGAGCTACACTACCCGGGGTGATCTAATCTGATGATCTCGGGGGGTACGACCACGAGCCACACTATGGGTACTTGGGCAATTGGTCACGACCATCGGCGGTATCGGGTCCCTGCCTGACCACCGGGTCCTTGTTATGGGGAGTAAATGGAAGAAGGGCGCTTCGAGGGTGGGTATGCCTACGCCCCCCCCCTTTATATGGCTGTCTACTTAATGAATGACGTTAACTTGTTTGGAGTGCATTCTCCCGCTTGTGTAGTCCACCGCAATTGGCCCACGTCCTGGACTGGTAGAGCCATGGCGGTAGGTTGGGCAAGGTAGGAGAGGGAAATCATGGTTATCAGGAATGAATCTAGGAAGGTTAAGCTCTTAGAGATATAGTCTTAACTTGACTGAACAAAATTTATGGTTACAGATTATGCAGAAACAGAGTACCTGTGTTGTGACTACCAACAACAATCCGTAGTAATTATAACCCTTTCATTCGCTCAGCTTTCCGACCTTAGCACAGGCGGGCATAGCCTTGGAATTCTGCTTTCCCGCGTGCTCCCTTACATCACTGAATCAGAGACGATTGATCGGTGAGCACAGGAGGGGTGCGGGAAGGTTATTGGACCGGACCGCCCATACACCGTAATAAGTTTCGGCGACCTGGCTACTCTGATGCTAGGAAAAATGCAATTGATCAGAGGCAATGAATCGGCACGCACTGGGGGGACACTAGAGGATTCCCGGACCCGAGCAGCCAAGAACCCAATTAATTGCCAACAGCCTGGCTGCGGTACTGCAGCTCCAGTGGGAATGGGGTGAGGTTCGAAGACAATGAGGCAGCGCAGCAGACACTGCGAGGAAACCCCGAGGATATGCGGCGGTAACTCTCTCGCCCTGTTGCCCGTTATTTGCGGAGCGCTTCAACCCTCCACACGAGAGACAAGCGGACAAACCAATCTACGGATTGCCGGTAGTTTTTCAGGAATAGAGGCGACAGGAGTGGCTACTAGTTTCTACCGGCGTAGGAGACTATAGGAAATACGGGGGGGTGGTTGCGGGGAGCGCCGGACTAACAGGAATAACGAACTAGAGTCCTCGAGTGGCAAGCCATTGAAGTGTAGCATGGAGAAAATGTGTGTAATGCCGGGCGCCCCCGCACCCCCCCCCGCAGCGATACTGACTCATGCCTAATAGAAAACGACGTCGCATGCATCCCCACCCGGCAAGCTTCCTGCAGTCCTGCCTTCACCACCAAGGTTCATAGGGTAGTGACGATTGGGTACCGGTTATTGACAATGCCGACAACGAGGAGGACCTTACCGGCAACAGTAGTCCCATTTCCAAATTTCTCCTATAAGGGCGTCCGGGTACTCTGATATTGGCGACCAGATTGCCCCGGGTTGCATCTTGTCAACGCTGCAAAGGATCGATGTCGGAAAATCGGAGGAGGGTGGAGCACAAGCATTGATTTTGAAACGCTTGGGTGACTAGAGCGGTTCGAGAGATGAAGAGAAAGAGGGGGTCAAGATGGTCCTAAGCCCCATACATCACATCCCCCTGGCTATCGGAGGTGCGGCGTCCTCCATGAGGCCCACACACCGCCGTCGCCCGCCGGACTATTTTCGGGGGGAAGCGACCGGGGCGCGGGAGGGCTACTTGCGCACCCGTTTTGTGATGGCCAACGGGAGACTGATATGACCGAAAGAATCCTAGCTACGTACTTTGTCACCTTTACCCGAATCACAAGGCAGATGTCCCAGCGGCGGATCTTCTGCGTCTAATTGTATTCTTCGATCGTCAGAACATACCAGAAGCGCTAATTAGTTAAAGCAGCTTCGAAGGGAGAGATGACCAAATTCAATTTCGTCAGGCCGTTGGAAACCATTAGGATTTTCGCAAGTTACGGCTGCCAAATTTGGGAAGACATTTTACGGGGTTCACAGATTGGTGTAGCTGTCTTTACGGGTGTATTTTGTTGAAACTCACCGGTGCTCATGTGGTTCGGCATTCATGTTTTGGTGGGTTGTACAGGAGTTTTACACTAGAAGCTATCTCCCCCACTAGGTTGTTCTGGTTTGTTGTATTGTGAGTTTCAGAGACGCAAAAGAAAGGAGGTTCAAAAGGGAGAGACACTAATCCGTAGTGTTCAGAGGTCTTTGACCACGCTCGGTCATTCGGCCGTATCTCGGACTGGCTTAACTGCAATAGCCATGAACCTCGGAGAAGGATCGGACAACTCGGGAAAATCTTGTACAAGTTGATAGGAGACAGACTGTTCTATATAAACTCCCTATTGTCCATAGATAGAAGAGATAAGGCCAGCAATAGATACCACTCATCTCAGAAACTTTATTCTTTCCTCAAATTTTTTATCCTATCAGCCCAATCCCAGTGTCTTATAACAACATATTTAGCAACTGAAGAGTTAAATCGGCAGAGGGTTACCCCGAAAGTGGTTTCAAGGCTGTACCCTCGCCATCGGAACACGTGGAGATATAGTTTTTGTACGGTACATACCTTCCAGCCGTACCTATGGTAACCAAAGATTCAAGAGATCCTGTTTCCCACGAGCTGTGTTTTCGCCTGGGATAGTCTTTCTACGTACGAATTTCTACAATGAGGCAGAAATTCAATAGCATCGATTTATTGCACTGCGGGAAGACTGTAAAGAGCGTGGCTGGGACAAGAGAGGTTAGAGGACGGTTATGGTCCACGGGGGGGAGGGGGGCAGGTATCAATCAGGGCCGAAGTGGCCGAGAAGATACTGCGGAATTTATTAGAGGATATTGAGGGATCATTGGGCCGAAATAACCTCACCAGCCTGAAGACTGTCCACCACCTAGCTATGGCGCTACTATACAGAGAGAAGTACGAGAAATCAGATACGGTGAATCAGAGTGTCCTCGAGGTGCGCAAGGAGATTTTGAACCAGACAATCAAGACACCTTCCCAAGTGCCAATAACCCAGCTACGGTGCTGTGATTAGAAGAAGTGTTCGAATTTAGGTGGTCTTCGTAGAATAGTGAATAAGTTATTGTATTTATTGAAGGAGACAAGCAAGAAGAGAAGGCAAACAAACAAAGTAAAAAATCAGAGGGCAGCCGGGAGCCCTCATCCAGGCTGTGCTAGTATATACAGGACTGTCTAGGTCATCCCTATCATCGACCTCACTGATCCCACACTTCAACTCTGCACTTCCTTCTCGCATGACATTTTTCAGCATATTTCCTAGCAAGAAGTGTCCGCCGATTCAAATATGACAAGGCGGCGGCCACGGCGGACGCTGCCAACTGTTGGAAATCGTGAGGTGCTGCTCGGCGCGCTCTCACGGGGGTTTGTCTGTTCGGATAGTCTCTAGGAGCGCGTTTGATGTCGGGCGCACTCGGGCTTCGGGCGCACTTTGGTTTCAGCCCGCGTAGTTTCCCTTTTCGGGAAAGCACTTCGGCCGCGGGAATGCACGAGTCTTGGAGCAATGCATCCGCTGGAGGGAAGACGAAAAGGCCTTGAGAAAGGCCGGAGGCTATGGGAAGCGGAAGTTGGTTTTTCCCTTGTCGGCACGGGAGTCATACAAAGCATAAGGGGGCATGCAAGCAACAGTGTGGACAGGTGCGGTAGTCCATGGAGGGGTGGAAGGACTTTTTTTGTTGTTTTGTCACTGATATATATATACCCCTGTCTTTACCGTTATTCAGTTGAGCGCAATAGTGATAGAGAAGACGAAGAAAAGAGTTTTTCCCAGCTCGTGAGTGGTGCAACCGTTTCCGTGTGAGATCTTGGCGTTTCGTTCCACGGTGTTCGTTTCGCGCCATTGGCGCCATTTCAACATTCACCGGTCTTCGTTTAATTTCACAGCGCTTCCTTCATTCGTTCCGCGGCTGATCTGTTTGCTTCTTTGTTTCGCTGTCACTATCCTACGCCGATCCGACGCCCAAAGCCAAGAAACTCACCATGTTAAGACAATACACGGCGGGCTTCCACATCGTGAGTTTTGCAGGTTTGGACATTATTTTCCACGCCTAACACTAAATAAGTCTTTTTAACCATTTATTCTGCTACTGCCTATGGAGCTCTGGGCCTGCAATACCGGTAGGCCTTGTTGGTGGCGATCGATATAAAAATGGTTAATAAGCTCTCAGGAGATCTCCTCCCGCTTAGCATACCTGTCGGAGTTGTTGTTCCTCGGGATATCGCTCTCCCTGGATTCTAGTATTTGTGTCGTTACCACAGTCTTTTAGGTAGGGCAAATGTTGTTTTTCTTTCAGTCGAAAAATGTGCCACTCCTTGGCCCATAGATAGCGGTGTCGTACCTGTAGTCTATCGCAGTTCCACCGATAGGGACGAAGGGATTACGCGCCTGGGGCGTGCCTCCTCTTTGGATGCTTCCCAGAAGGCGACCAGCGGTGCAGAGAAGAATGTGAAAGCCGGAGCAAGAGACAAAAACCTAGCCCACCGGTATTCATGCAGTCAGAATTTTATAGAAAAAAAAAGTAAGTATCATATTTCCCATGGGAACCCGGAGGAGCCTGGAGTTTGGAACAAAAATCCAACTCACGCGCCATTCCGATGTTAGAAAAAAAACCGCTCCCTAGATTCCTAGGTTATGATCACGACACGACAGTAAAAATGAAATTACACAATGTCATAAAACTCAATCATTACAATTGGGAAATCATTGTGGAGATCGCACCCCACCGTAAATTTGCCCGTACCGATATATTGCGAGTACAGTACATATATCGAAGTCATCCCGGACTCGTGCGACCTTCGATACCACTTGTCAGTTTGCCCCAGTTCCGTTAGGAATTCCGACAGGTGTGGCGTCCGTATCATAGCCCTTGTGCGTGCTCACGAAGGCCGGCTCGGTTCCAAGGACCCCACCAAACCATTATCGGTACGGTGTACATGTACCATCGACGTGTTGTGTCTCATCTCTTTACCTTGTTTCATGCGCCCGCTCGGATTTTCGATGTCTGATGGGCTTTCAGGTAGGATCATGCGAGAAAAGAAGCCCGCAAGAGGCCAAGGCCCCTCCCGAGCATGGGTCAGACAGCTCTATACGTATATCGCCATCATTTGGCAGGTTCACATTTGTATTCTCAGGAGCGCGAGCGGATAGAGCACTGTACCGGTACTGCTATCCCAAATGGACAGCTACCGTAGGATGCGGAAAAATGCCTTTCTAGTCAGGGGTTGTAGTCACCTTATCGTCTCAGGGACGAGTATTTCTTGTCGAGCAAAGGAGCTGCACCAAATATCGGCGACCGCCGAAGCCACGGCAATGGTCCGATCAACTGCGGGGACATCGCCCAAAATACATTTAGCAGGGAGGTATGATAGCTATGTAAGCACAATACCCATTGTTTGACTCTCTCGCTCATCTACCCCGCCCAAGCAGCGAAAAGGGAGTGGACCTTCCTGAGGTGCTTCCGGTCTGATACCCACCCCGTACCCTAGGATTCAATTTTTTGGGCCACACCGAACCCGAACTGCCCGGGCTAGGATTCCTCCCATAACCGCCTCGAAACTAGACCGTTATTTATCTCCACATCCAAGGTAGGGTCCTCGGCTACACGTTTTGGAATACCTTATCGCGCGGGATTGACTTCGTTCAGGGCTAGCGGAACCATTTTGAATTGCCTGGGTTGGCAACATATAGCCTACCTCTCCCATTTTAGATACGCTAGCCACATCTGATTACTTTTCTACCCAGCCTACACAAACGGGACGACAGAGAGCTAAATACTCGAGTGCTTGATGGATCGGTGGGATCCCCTTTCCTTCAAGGTCTGTGACTTCGGAAATAATCAGCACCCGTCTAATAACCCTCCCAGAAAAGCCCAAGTCGATATTAGCGGAGACTTCAGCGGGAACTCAGGGAGTCGCAATTTTTACGGAAGCGATAATAATAATAATCGCTTATACACGGGAAACCCGCACATCATTACCAATATCGGGCAGATATATCACCAGTATGTGCTAGGAGCGGGGGACAGAGGTATTACCACCTTTCCTGGGAGCTTCCCGGCAAAGATCTAATGCGCCTTTACAACCAGAACATGAACCCAGGCCTTATCGGATAATTCCCTATCGCAGAAACAGCAGGTTCACTGGCCGGAAAGATCTCATTGAGTCGATAAAAAGGCTCTCCCAGGGGAAAGCCCACAACCGGATCGCACTTCATGGCCTGGGTGGCTCTGGGTATGCACTCCTCATTGGTATTTCGGGGGTCATCTAACCTTGCTTAGAAAGACTCAGATTGCCCTCGAATTCGTTTATCAGCGCGCAAGCGAGAGAGACTGTGATGTTTTCTGGGTGCACGGGGGTGGGGTGCAAAAGTTTAGAGAGGGTTTCACAGCTATTGCACAACATGTTCGAATTCCGCTAGCCAGCGCCGAGACGGACCAAGAGGGATTCCTGTTAAATATAAAGAGGTGGTTTGAAGGTCCAGCTAGTGGGGATTGGATCCTGGTTATTGACAACGCCGACAACGAGGAGGACTTTACCGGCAACAGTGGCCCCATCTCCAAATTTGTACCACAAGGGCCACGGGGTACTCTAGTATTCACCACCAGATCTCTCCGGGTTGCATCCTGGCAAGATTGTGAAAGAATAGTTATTGGAAAGATGGAGGAGGATGAGGCGCGAGCCTTGTTCACGAGACGTTTGGGTAACCCGGACAGTGCGGATGAGGAAGAAAAAGACGCCGTCACCAGGATCCTGGAATCCGTGCATCACATCCCACTGGCTATCGTTGGTGCAGCGGCCTTCATGACAGAAACTCAAACACCGCCATCCACTTACTGGACCATTTCCCAAGCAAGCGACGAACGAGCAAAGAATCTCCTTTCACAGCCATTTTGGGACATCCAACGGGAGGCGGATCTAACTGAAAGCACCCTTGCGACGTACTTTGTTACCTTTGACCAGATCACCCGCCAGATGCTCTTAGCTGCAGATCTTCTGCGCCTAATCGTGTGCTTCGATCGCCAGAACATACCCGAACAGCTATTGACCCAAAGTGGTTTGGAAGGGATAGATGACCCAGTTCGGTTTCGTCAAGCCATTGGAACGCTATTAGGATTTTCACTAGTTACGGCAGTCAAACGTGAGGACAAGACATTTTACGAGCTTCACCGTCTGGTGCAACTGTCTTTACAACTGTATTTACCACCCGAAGAGTTGAATTGGTGGAGGGCCACTGCACTGAAAGTGGTTTCAAGGCTGTTCCTTCCGGCTGAGAACACGGGGAGATATATTGGTTCTGCATACATTCCCCATGCACTTGCAGTAACCAAAGGTTCAACTAATCCCGTTGCCGAAGAGCTTTGTTCCCGCCTGGGACGCTACTTCAGAGAGATTGGTTCCTACAACGATGCAGAAATTCAATTGCGGCGATGTATTGCACTCCGGGAAGAGAACAAAGAGCACGATTGGGATGGGGAGGGTTACCAGAGGGTTACAGCCCTAGGTTGGATAAGCATACTTCAAGGGAGGGCCGAAGTAGGCGAGGAGATCTTGAGGGATTTATTAGGGGATATTGAAGGATCATTGGGCCCAAATATTCAGAGCGCCATAGTTGCCCACTGCCTGGCTGTGGCGCTACAATCCCAGGGAAAGTATGATGAGGCAGAGATAATGAATCGGCGCGCACAAGAAGGGCACGAGAGGATTCTTGGACCTGACCACCCAGACACCCTGGGAAGCGTCTACAGCCTGGCTACTCTGCTGAAAGACCAAGGAAAGTACAGCGAATCAGAGACGATGCATCGGCGTGCACTGGAGGGGCGCAAGAGGATTCTTGGACCAGACCACCCAGACACCCTGTCAAGTCTCAGCAACCTGGCTAGTACACTGCAATACCAAGGAAGGTACGACGAATCAGAGTCGATGCATCGGCATGGACTAGAGGGGTGCGAGAGGATTCTCGGACCTGACCACCCAGACACCCTGACAAGCGTCAACCGCCTAGCT